TCAATCAATTTGGTTGACTCTTTCTACTACTTGCAAAATCAGGGTCGATTCTCAGTGACCGATGTTATACTGCAGTATGCGGAACATTTAATAAAGTGGGTCGGGCTGGTTAACACAGACCGACTTTACATTTTGTCTTGATATTTTTACAGTAGTCTTAGTTTAGTATTAGTAACATCATATTAAAATTTCAATCAATTTGGTTGACTCTTTCTACTACTTGCAAAATCAGGGTCGATTCGCACTGACCCATGTTATACTGCAGTGTGCGGACCACGTAATAAAGTGGGTTGGGCTGCTTAACACAGACCGACTTTACATTTTGTCTTGATATTTTTACAGTAGTCTTAGCTTAGTATTAGTAACATCATATTAAAATTTCAATCAATTTGGTTGACTCTTTCTACTACTTGCAAAATCAGGGTCGATTCTCAGTGACCCATATTATAGTGCAGTATGTGGAACACGTAATAAAGTGGATCGGGCTGGTTAACACAGACCGACTTTACATTTTGTCTTGATATTTTTACAGTAGTCTTAGCTTAGTATTAGTAACATCATATTAAAATTTCAATCAATTTGGTTGACTCTTTCTACTACTTGCAAAATCAGGGTCGATTCGCACTGACCCATGTTATACTGCAGTGTGCGGAACACGTAATAAAGTGGGTTGGGCTGCTTAACACAGACCGACTTTACATTTTGTCTTGATATTTTTACAGTAGTCTTAGCTTAGTATTAGTAACATCATATTAAAATTTCAATCAATTTGGTTGACTCTTTATACTACTTGCAAAATCAGGGTCGATTCTCAGTGACCCATATTATAGTGCAGTATGCGGAACACGTAATAAAGCGGGTCGGGCTGGTTAACACAGACCGACTTTACATTTTGTCTTGATATTTTTAGAGTAGCCTTAGTTTAGTATTAATAACATCATATTAAAATTTCAATCAATTTGGTTGACTCTTTATACTACTTGCAAAATCAGGGTCGATTCTCAGTGACCGATGTTATGCTGCAGTATGCGCAACATTTAATAAAGTGGGTCGGGCTGGTTAACACAGACCGACTTTACATTTTGTCTTGATATTTTTACAGTAGTCTTAGCTTAGTATTAGTAACATCATATTAAAATTTCAATCAATTTGGTTGACTCTTTCTACTACTTGCAAAATCAGGGTCGATTCGCACTGACCCATGTTATACTGCAGTGTGCGGAACACGTAATAAAGTGGGTTGGGCTGCTTAACACAGACCGACTTTACCTTTTGTCTTGATATTTTTACAGTAGCCTTAGTTTAATATTAATAACATCATATTAAAATTTCAATCAATTTGGTTGACTCTTTCTACTACTTGCAAAATCAGGGTCGATTCTCAGTGACCCATATTATAGTGCAGTATGCGGAACACGTAATAAAGTGGGTCGGGCTGGTTAACACAGACCGACTTTACATTTTGTCTTGATATTTTTACAGTAGCCTTAGTTTAGTATTAGTAACATCATATTAAAATTTCAATCAATTTGGTTGACTCTTTCTACTACTTGCAAAATCAGGGTCGATTCTCAGTGACCCATATTATAGTGCAGTATGCGGAACACGTAATAAAGTGGATCGGGCTGGTTAACACAGACCGACTTTACATTTTGTCTTGATATTTTTACAGTAGTCTTAGTTTAGTATTAGTAACATCATATTAAAATTTCAATCAATTTGGTTGACTCTTTCTACTACTTGCAAAATCAGGGTCGATTCGCACTGACCCATGTTATACTGCAGTGTGCGGAACACGTAATAAAGTGGGTTGGGCTGCTTAACACAGACCGACTTTACATTTTGTCTTGATATTTTTACAGTAGCCTTAGTTTAATATTAATAACATCATATTAAAATTTCAATCAATTTGGTTGACTCTTTATACTACTTGCAAAATCAGGGTCGATTCTCAGTGACCCATATTATAGTGCAGTATCCAAAACACGTAATAAAGTGGTTCGGGCTGGTTAACACAGACCGACTTTACATTTTGTCTTGATATTTTTACAGTAGTCTTAGCTTAGTATTAGTAACATCATATTAAAATTTCAATCAATTTGGTTGACTCTTTCTACTACTTGCAAAATCAGGGTCGATTCTCAGTGACCCATATTATAGTGCAGTATGCGGAACACGTAATAAAGTGGATCGGGCTGGTTAACACAGACCGACTTTACATTTTGTCTTGATATTTTTACAGTAGTCTTAGCTTAGTATTAGTAACATCATATTAAAATTTCAATCAATTTGGTTGACTCTTTCTACTACTTGCAAAATCAGGGTCGATTCGCACTGACCCATGTTATACTGCAGTGTGCGGAACACGTAATAAAGTGGGTCGGGCTGGTTAACACAGACCGACTTTACATTTTGTCTTGATATTTTTACAGTAGCCTTAGTTTAGTATTAATAACATCATATTAAAATTTCAATCAATTTGGTTGACTCTTTATACTACTTGCAAAATCAGGGTCGATTCTCAGTGACCCATATTATAGTGCAGTATGCGGAACACGTAATAAAGTGGGTCGGGCTGGTTAACACAGACCGACTTTACATTTTGTCTTGATATTTTTACAGTAGCCTTAGTTTAGTATTAGTAACATCATATTAAAATTTCAATCAATTTGGTTGACTCTTTCTACTACTTGCAAAATCAGGGTCGATTCTCAGTGACCCATATTATAGTGCAGTATGCGGAACACGTAATAAAGTGGGTCGGGCTGGTTAACACAGACCGACTTTACATTTTGTCTTGATATTTTTACAGTAGCCTTAGTTTAGTATTAATAACATCATATAAAAATTTCAATCAATTTGGTTGACTCTTTATACTACTTGCAAAATCAGGGTCGATTCTCAGTGACCCATATTATAGTGCAGTATGCGGAACACGTAATAAAGTGGATCGGGCTGGTTAACACAGACCGACTTTACATTTTGTCTTGATATTTTTACAGTAGTCTTAGTTTAGTATTAGTAACATCATATTAAAATTTCAATCAATTTGGTTGACTCTTTCTACTACTTGCAAAATCAGGGTCGATTCGCACTGACCCATGTTATACTGCAGTGTGCGGAACACGTAATAAAGTGGGTTGGGCTGCTTAACACAGACCGACTTTACATTTTGTCTTGATATTTTTACAGTAGCCTTAGTTTATTATTAGTAACATCATATTAAAATTCCAATCAATTTGGTTGACTCTTTCTACTACTTGCAAAATCAGGGTCGATTGTCAGTGACCCATATTATAGTGCAGTATGCGGAACACGTAATAAAGTGGGTCGGGCTGGTTAACACAGACCGACTTTACATTTTGTCTTGATATTTTTACAGTAGCCTTAGTTTATTATTAGTAACATCATATTAAAATTCCAATCAATTTGGTTGACTCTTTCTACTACTTGCAAAATCAGGGTCGATTCTCAGTGACCGATGTTATACTGCAGTATGCGGAACATTTAATAAAGTGGGTCGGGCTGGTTAACACAGACCGACTTTACATTTTGTCTTGATATTTTTACAGTAGTCTTAGTTTAGTATTAGTAACATCATATTAAAATTTCAATCAATTTGGTTGACTCTTTCTACTACTTGCAAAATCAGTGTCGATTCTCAGTGACCCATATTATAGTGCAGTATGCGGAACATGTAATAAAGTGGATCGGGCTGGTTAACACAGACCGACTTTACATTTTGTCTTGATATTTTTACAGTAGTCTTAGTTTAGTATTAGTAACATCATATTAAAATTTCAATCAATTTGGTTGACTCTTTCTACTACTTGCAAAATCAGGGTCGATTTGCACTGACCCATGTTATACTGCGTGTGCGGAACACGTAATAAAGTGGGTTGGGCTGCTTAACACAGACCGACTTTACATTTTGTCTTGATATTTTTACAGTAGCCTTAGTTTAATATTAATAACATCATATTAAAATTTCAATCAATTTGGTTGACTCTTTATACTACTTGCAAAATCAGTGTCGATTCTCAGTGACCCATATTATAGTGCAGTATGCGGAACACGTAATAAAGTGGGTCGGGCTGGTTAACACAGACCGACTTTACATTTTGTCTTGATATTTTTACAGTAGTCTTAGTTTAGTATTAGTAACATCATATTAAAATTTCAATCAATTTGGTTGACTCTTTCTACTACTAGCAAAATCAGGGTCGATTCTCAGTGACCCATATTATAGTGTAGTGTAGTATACATAATTCAGTAAGAACAGCGTTTTCGCCAACAGCAATATCTCATGAAGTTCCCGAGATATTTTTTAAAAGGGTTTAATGGCACAAATTCCAGTCCTTGCATGAAGCTCCTCGCAGCTCGCTGGAAGTGTATGCATGAGTACTGTCATCCAATCACAATGCTTACTAATAAGAGCTAATTTTAATCAAGCAAGCATTCGCAGCGAGCTTCGTGCGAGGACTTTATACTTGAAAGTTTCAGTTCGATCAATTAACGAAATATTACCGAACATATTCCACTTTTTGGAAAACTGTGGAGTACGTAACCTCTAAAAGCGTCGCATTTGCATTTTTTGTACTTGAATATCTCGGGAATGTGTTGGGATATTGACCAGTAGGCGATTATAATCTTTTAACTGATCATTTTGATAATACATTTAACTAAACGTCAACAATGGGAAATGATTTCTGCACATGTTTGCACTAAACCTAGGTGAAACATATAAAATCCCCGTAACAAATCTCGTCAAGTCCAAGGGTGCTTTCTATCAACCTGAGAAACTGTGGCAATTCATTAATGTCACCCTTTACTATAACTGCACCATAACTATCATTCCTGTGGCAATCGATCATCATCAAGCTGTTATTGCACGACAAGAATAGAACAGCTTTCGCGGAATAAATAAAGATGGCAGCCTTCATGCCAGCCATCCTTTCCAGGTGGCACGCCAAACGTGATGAAGGGTTGGGGTCGCTCATTCACACTATTGCTGCTGGGTGCAGGACGATATCAACTAAAAGACTTCTACATAGATAAGTTTTATTTTCCTCCACGGCCAGTGTACGTGCACCATCTTCAGATTCGTTCGATAAAGTGATCCCCTTTTTCGTAGCATACAGAATCGAAGAAAACCAGGAGTGATGGAGAGTACCATCCTCGGGGAAATTAACTCTTGTTGCAAGCCATATGTGACCCAAAAAAAGAGCTGTAATGGTGCTGGCATTTGTGATATTGAGGCAAGTAGAAGATTGACTAACATCGATACGTTCGGGTAAAAGCCACAGCAAGACACATGTTCCAGCAACTTTTAAAAAACGTACATTTTCACATAATTCTTTTTCGTTTGGCAAAGTCGTGGTACCCAATTCACATGTAGTATTGTGAAAAGGAACTGATTCAGCACTAACATTAATAGATGGATGAACAGCATCAGTAGAAGGGCTAAGGCTGGGAAACGAGGATTGAATCGTTGGGCAAGAGGATGAATTTGTGGAAGAATCTGTTGAGATTGTTGGGTTCATTGATTGTTTTGTCACGGATGAAACCACCGCAGCAATCGTGGTTGAATTTAAACCAACAGACGGGCATAATGGAGCTGTCTCAACACTTTCTACTCTTGGTCGTTTGGAAGGTGGTGGTATTTGAGGTGGCTCCACGATGTTGCCAATCACCAGTTGCCCTTTCGAATTTGTAGTCAAGTGTTCTCCAAACTAAAAAAAAACATGCACTCACTTTACCACAAACCAATACTCAAACATACAAGTCTGCACGATCCCCAAGTGACCTATATCAGACAAAAAAAGAAAACTTTTTAGTCGTTGATTTATGGAGTTGTTAATATTTTGAAACAGGTAAAATAGTGCAAGACGATGTGTTATGTAAGTTAATTCAAAGTTATGTTTGTGTTCTTGTTGTCTAAGTTGATGAGCTATAAGAAAGTAACATACTTTCCCTTCACAGAACAAATCCGTAAGTTTCTCAATAGAGCAATTGTCAGAAGTAGCACCAGCAGATTTAAGATCTTCCTTGTGATTTGCTTTCCTAAACTCTGAGTTGATCAGTTGTCGCCCTCTTCTGCAGTTTGATCCAATGAATGGAGCCCAAAAGCTGTACGTGGGCTTGATTTCCAATGGATTCTTTTCAGTGCCTGCATATAAGTTGAGCAACGGTTATGGCACAATAATAATACAATTAAACAACACACATATAAGGATTACATTCAGTGTAAACAGCGCTGTTATTAACATCTCGCCAGAACTAATAGAAACCATTACTTTTTTGTATTTTACAAGCGATTTACTGCATATTATGAGAATTTATATTGTAATAACTTGGTTTTTATATTATGTAAGCTTCCCACCACCTTTTTGTTTGCATAACGTTCAACAAGTGCTTCTATATAAACTTTTATACAAAGTACGGAAAAGTTTTCTACCTAAAATTTTAGATTAGTTACCTGTCGATTATGAATAGCGATTACGTGTTTATTTTCCTTCTCGTTGTTAAAATGGGTTGCCAATCTCTCAACAAATACGGAGTTATGTGCCGTCAAAGATGTCGTGAAATAGTTGTCACAATTTCTTCTGTTGTTGAGCTGTTCAGCGGTCTCTGAATTTGTCTTTCCAGCAAGTTGGTTGACGCAGGAGATTCTACGTAAGCAATCAGCTGGATCTGTAGAGTTTGCCTCATGAAATTGATCAAATAAGCAGTAATGCTCTGATGATCCAGTCGAAGGATTACGCAGAAGCTGTTCACCATCAAGTCTTTCCTCTTCCCATCCCCTATCCTGTTCTGCGCAATTAGAGAACCAAGGCCAGTCAATCTCCAGCTCACCATCCATTGCCTTTTGGATGTTCTCTTGACTGCATTCAGCAACACGACCATTAAATGGCTGGAAAACGTCGTAGCCTCTATTTCTGGCATGGGCAACCATCATATTCGCCATGTCCAACACAACAACATTCGGTACAGAGGCAAGGTTCATGATCATGTCCACATGATCTCGCGGGCCTTCGTGCCTCAAAAGCCACTTCAAACCATAGCAAATACAGTGCAGACAAGTCATCCCTAACCATCCACCTATTTAAAGAAAGAAAGAGTAGTACATAAACAAAAAATAACACAACAGGTTGCGTCGTCTATAAGTATTTATATTTTTTGAAAATTATGATTACATTATTTACGCATGCATAACATTCTCACCGTAATAATAAAGAACGCTATCCATGCATATGGTTAATAATTTATTTTATTTTTTTGATTATTTTATATGATACTTTATATGATGACTTCATTTTTGTTAAATTTAGGGCCGTTTAAAAATTTCCAACTGGGCAATATATATTCACTTTCTTGCATCCATATGCAACACGGCAAAACTGTTTCTATTGCTTAAAAGTACATGTTTAATGTACATCCAATATCCCATCATCTCACAGGAGTCGAACCTGTGCTTTTCGCGTGGAAAAGAACCGCTTGATGAAGTGCCGGCGAGAATGTACAGTATACGTTTAAAGGTATTAACTTACTAATTAGTATAAACTGCTTTAAATGAGAAAATTGATGTCGAAACAATAGTTTAAATAATTTACAACATTGAATAAAACTCTTAAAATACTTAAATGCATATTTTTTACCTGAACCACCCCACATTTTGGAAAAGAGCTTTAAGAAAGTTCCTTCGATGTTGAGAGCTGACTTTATCCGGTTAATTATGTCCAACGTCGAGCCCTTATCACTCACGCCCAAATTTTTTGCCATTTCTCTTATCACCGGGACCTATAAACGAGAAGAATAAAAAACAACGGTATTTAAAAAAGTTATAACGTTATAACAGTATAACTGATATGCATGCATAGTAGTTTTCATTGGGTGGGAGGATAATGCTATTAAATATAGATTCCATTCCAAGTGACCTATATCAGACAAACAAAGACAACTTTTTAGTCGTTGATTTATGGAGTTGTTAACATTTCGAAACAGGTAAAATAGTGCAAGACGATGTGTTTTGTAAGTTAATTCAAAGTTATGTTTGTGTTCTTGTTGTCTAAGTTGATGAGCTATAAGAAAGTAACATACTTTCCCTTCACAGAACAAATCCGTAAGTTTCTCAATAGAGCAATTGTCAGAAGTAGCACCAGCAGATTTAAGATCTTCCTTGTGATTTGCTTTCCTAAACTCTGAGTTGATCAGTTGTCGCCCTCTTCTGCAGTTTGATCCAATGAATGGAGCCCAAAAGCTGTACGTGGGCTTGATTTCCAATGGATTCTTTTCAGTGCCTGCATATAAGTTGAGCAACGGTTATGGCACAATAATAATACAATTAAACAACACACATATAAGGATTACATTCAGTGTAAACAGCGCTGTTATTAACGTCTCGAAAAATGTTAGCCATTGATTACCTCTTAGTATTCCTCTGTACAATATACCAAGGTTCACTTGTTGCCAGAACATCTCAGCATCAACTTCCTCAGGATTTGAATCCGACTGCATGTCTGGTTGCTCGAGTTCACTTACTGTAAAAAGCCAAAATACATAAATATGAATAAACATATACACAAAAAAAAACGCAAACAGTAAACTCAAATTTTGATTATCTCAATTGCATCTCAGCACTGCCATGACGTACACGCACAAGTTGATTCCACGGTCTACAATGACTGTATAATGAAGCGTTAAATCCGAAAGTGACACCTGTGACGTACTGACTTTAAAAGATCTACAGTATATATGCTGTAGTTCTTTACGCAATCTTGGGCTATACCATTTACCTGCTAGTTCAAACACTCCTTTCATGCATCTAAAGTTAGCAAAGGAGGAAAGTGACCACACATAAGACATGAAAAACCATAGCTGTGCTCTGAAAGGGCCTCAAAATGAAGGTAGGCATTCAGCATTGGGCCACGCGGTAAATGATACGGACGCAACTGCAGCCAGTTCTCGATTGCTTCTACTGTTCGGCTTACAGCATTGTGAACCTAAGAAAACATTGGAATGTTATATATATATATATAACATTATATATATATAATGGTCGCGGGTTCAAGACCCAGCCGCGGCAGACAACATCTTTCTGCTTGCGCTGGGTATGGAAATTGTATAATACACACTCTAGAACATTTTCATCTTAATATATATATATAACCAACAATGAGATGATGGATGTGGGACACATAAATTATATATACGACAAGAACGCCATTCAACCTAATACGCATGATCTCTGCATTTCACAGATTTAAATCAGCGCAAAGGCCTATAGGCAATTGTGCCCCAATTGGGGCACAATTGCCTATAGGCCTTTGCGCTGATTTAAATCTGTGAAATGCAGAGATCATGCGTATTAGGCTGAATATATATACATACATATATATATATATATATATATATATATATTCAGGTTGTATATATATACAGTATATATATATATATTAGGTTGAATATATATATATATATATATATATATATATATATATATATATATATATATATATATATATATATATATATATATATAAAATTTAAATTCAAACCCGTTAGTTTTCAAAAGACTATTTGGCGCTGCAAATCACTTCCACTGAGAATCAATTAAGAAGATCACACACCGCATATTTCATACCTGGAGATGCTTTCTAATCATATCACATATTCCATAACTTAGAAGCCAGTTGTCATTAAAATTGTGAACACCATCAGCAAATTCTTGATACCGATATGGAAGCTTGCAGTTGTTACAAAACTTTACATATAAAGAAATTCCTGAGAAAGAAGAAATTACAATTAATATTCAAAAACTCATTAATAATTCATGAAGCAATTATCCAATCTTGAGTTAGAAATAAGTCACGTGCACACGTCTTTATACCAGCTAAAGAACACTTTAACAAAAGACCATTGTTATGCAAACTATATAAAGATTTTTATATAAAGATTTTTATATAAAGATCTGACTTATTATGCAAACGTTTTTGAAGCCATTTAAAAAACTCGCAGGTCGTGTTTTATAAAACACTCCTGCTCGTTTTTTAAATAGTACTTAAAGAAATATAGAACATATTTCATGGATATTCTCCAAATTACGTGAAAACTTCAAACTTGCACTCGTGGTTATCATATATGTTTAACTCAATACCAATGCAGAAAGATGTTTTGTAATTATTTTATAACACTAGGAAATAAATTTCCGTTTTGAAATTGCGTTATATCATCACAGAAAGTACAAATGCTATATTATAATTACGTACCTTCAATAATTCCTTTAAGTGTCACTAGCTTAGCGTTTTGTGTGATGCAGTATGGCTCTGTCAGTTGGGTTTTACAATAGAAGCAATTGGTCTCTGTCGGGATATAACTAGAAAGCAATAGAAACGATTTGTATTGAGTAATGAGCTAAACATTTTTTTATATTTACTGTCGTTCCAATTGAAGTGTTTCTCAAATATTGATTCGATACATTACCTCAGGCTGACCAATTCATTTGATCAAGTGTATGAATATTTCGAAAGGAAGTAGGAAGTGTATGAATATTTCGAGGAACTTGATCAAATGAATTGGTCAGCCTGAGGTAATGTATTGAATCAATATTTGAGGAACACTTCAATTGGAACGACAGTAAACCTACAAATTGAGGAACGTAAAAGATCATACTGCATGTCAAAATTACATGAACTTGTATGTACTACCTTATTGCGCATTAAACATAATTACCTTTTATCAAAATTTTCTTTTTGAACTGTTAATGCCAATGGGAGTTGCGGAGGGATTTTCTTCTCATCCAACAAGTATTTGACAAAGTTGAGAGCAACGTTTCCAGTTGGAGGGTAAAACATTGTGCTTGGAATGGGAAGATTCTTGCCATTGCCAGGTGAGTGCTCATCAGCGACATTTTCGTCAGTCGCAGTAGGGAAATCTTGGGTGTCGCCGATCTCCTCATCCACCTGCGATGTTGTAGATGTGGGAATGACTGAAGGATGCCACTGTGCAATTGCCCACTTGGCAATGCATTTATGCATACAAGAGCGACGACCAGAGCAGCACTTGCAGTGAAAGGAGGAGTTTTCTTTGTCAAACGAAACCACCACACGTTTGCAAAAAGACCAATAATGATCTCTCTTAATTTTGGCAAATACAGAAAAATGGTAAAAACGAGTAGAAGATTCCGGTGCAAGAGGCATTTGAACAACTAGTGGAACGTTGTCATGTGCAGCTTGCTTCTGCCACTCCAGACATTCTGACTTTCGTTCAAGCTTCAACCATTTTAAAGTATCAACAACAAAATTAAGAGAATCTTCTTGTAAGTGATGAGCAACAACAGAAGGGCATATAAACTGCGTGGACTTAAGATGATCGCACAGGAAATTTGCTTGACCACTTCTAGAAGCGGTACTGCTTAGTTGGCGACAAGTATCAACACTACACACCACAGAGGCAGGACATGAAGTCTTGAACTGGCAATGAACAGGATGATCAGTTCCTCGAAATTGTTTACGAACTAAATAAATCCCATTTGCATAGTCAACACACGTTCCATTCAAGTATTTTCCTGACTCTACTCTCTTTCGTTCATCTGCAGCATGTTTTGCCTTGATATGGGTAGATAGGGAATTTGGATGGAATTCTCTGCCACAATCAGCAAATGGACACTTGACTCTGGTTGGTTGTTGTCGCATCGATCTTGACTGAGCAGACCTGTATCTAAACTCTTGGAATGACTGAACTGTAGTGGTAAGGTTTGTTTCCTGTTGTTGTTCTTGTAACTGTGTCTGTTGTTCTACTAGTTCATGTTGTTCTTGTTCCCCAGGCTGTGTGGCATGCAGTTGATGACTTGGTTCTTGTAGTTGTTGCTGCTGTTGTTCCTGTTGCTGCTGTTGTTGTTGTTGTTGTTTTTGTTGCTGTTGTTGTTGTGGTAGTGGGTGTTGCTGCTGCTGTTGTTGTTGTTGCTGTTGTGGTTGTTGCTGCAACTGCTGTGGTGGTTGTTGCTGCTGTTGTTGTTGCTGCTGTGGTTGTTGTTGCTGCTGCTGTTGTTGTTGTTGTTGTTGTTGTTGTTGTTGTGGTTGCTGTTGGTAATTTTCCTGCATTTGTTGTTGTAATTGTTGACGCCATAACTGTAGTTGTGGTGTCAGTAGCTGAAGGTTATGTGTGGCACGAATGTGCCGGATTGCCTCATCCCTACGCTTGAACCCATGTTCACATCCAAAACAGTGATAATGTGTTATGTCTTGCAGGTTTTTCTCATCTGATTCACGCCGACTTGACGGGAATATGCATGATAGTTTGCATCTTAGTATGTTGAAACCTTAAATGACATGATTGTATAACTTACAAATGAATATAAATTAAGAATACATGCAGTACTGCACTGTACTGGTACTACAGTATAGTATACACATACAACACACTAATCAATACCTTATACAGTACCATTGCAGCAAGGACTTATAGTGCTGTTGTAAATATTTGTTTTGTTTTCAATGACTGTGAATGACATTACATAGACATGCTTGGCCTGATTATCAGATGACTGGATGGGTATTACCAATTGTACAATTTTAGTTAGAAAACCAAACAACCAACACGTCAAGTATTTAGAATATCTCTACAAATTCCTCGAGCTGATAGAGTATTAAGAAAATCGAAATTTCATTAGACAGCATACATACAGTATGTGTACCACAGTTCCAACCCCTCAGTTTAACCCATTGACTGACAGTACAGTACTCTAATTACCATTGGCAATTAAAATACACATTGTATGGCATTAGACAGAGTAAAATACTAATTAAAAGTAGGGCACGTCTGTGCAACAGACATTGAGATGCTGGCAGACAGCTGGTGAGATACTAGGAGATAGTTTTGTTAACCCATTCACTGATATAGTAGTACCCTACTACTCAAAAGTAAATTTGTGGGGTAAAATAATGTGCAAATTATACCATCTTGACCAGTGCTTATTACCAGCATGCAGAAGGGATAATGTATGTTTGGTATAGGTAATAGCATGGTTTCGAGTGCAATTTGGATATAACATGCACAAGTGAGTTTTTCAAAGACCTCGAAATAGCACGAGTCCGAAGGACGAGTGCTATTTGAGGTCTTTGAAAAACTCACGAGTGCATGTTTATCCAAATTTCACGAGAAACCATGCTATTACTTATTAATAATTTACATAAAAATGTTCGAGACAATTGTAGTTTTAACTTGCGCGTTTATAGCGAACATTCCACCGGCAAACTTTTCCTGGCTTTGTTATATCACATTATGCAACGCTAACAGCTTGAAAATTCCACTCAACTATGTAATTTTTGTTAGTCTTGTTTAAGGTCAATGCTTTTCCATTTAAAAATAAAGATAAAAGCCACGCGAAAACAACTTTTACTTCACTGTAGCGCGGCGCCATGTTTGTTTTGTTTTGAAGCAATCTGTGACCGTTACTTCTTTAAACTAAATTGCTTTAAACTGATTGGTTGATTTATTCATCACAATGTTTTTTCCACCAATCAGATCAGTTTGTTACAGATTTTTGCACTGTGATTACAGAAAATTGCACTGTGATTACAGAAAATTGCACTGTGATTACAGAAAATTGCACTGCTGTTTTGGATTAACTGCACTGAAATCAACCAATCACAGTCGAGTAATATCTTTATGTATATTATTATGTATGTTAGCGCTGCTGAACCGAAAGATGGATATAGACAATTTCAGTAAATGCAACGTACGTCTAGGTAGCTAGCCTGCTTCGCAAATTAATCCTTTGTATAGACATAAAATAAAGTATAAATACAAAAGGCTGATTGAGATTCAATCAAACAGGGAATCAGGCAAATTAACATGATCAATCAGACTGTTTTGGGATTTTAATGGCAATTAAGTAACGTTTTTACTATTGATATTATATATGGAACGCCATGTGTCCAAAAATTATTTAACGTTAATTATATCATATCATGCATGACTAAAACTGTCATTGTATATAAATAATTGATAAACGAACAGACATTATATCAAATCATGACTTATTCGTTTTTGTCATTATTTGATATAATGTTATCAACATTAAGCATTATATCATATCAAGAACTTCCGAAAAGTCATGATATGATATCATGACATTTTGACAAAATCATTATATCATATACATTTCGACAAAATCATTAATGATATCATAAGCATTTGTGTAAGGATCTATTCTAAAAGACCACACGAGTCAGAACACGAGTGAACACGAGTCAGAACACGAGTGAACACGAGTGAACACGAGTCAAAAGTGAACACGAGTGAACACGAGTCAAAAAGAACACGAGTGAACACGAGTCAAAAATGACGAACACGAGTGAACACGAGTCAAAAATCTGTGAACACAATTCAAAAACGCATTCTTAAAGAGGCTCCCTACAGTTTTAAGCCCGTGAGGAAGGTCTGTACTGTGTAATTGCACGCGGGATAGTCAGGATTCTTGGCGGCCCACAGGATGTTGGATTAATAATAATAATTATTATTATAACGAAAACTTTATTCAATTTTAGTAATAATAATACTTATGATTATTATAAATATCATTATTATAACTATGATTATAATTAAAATATTATATTTAATTATAATTATATATTAAAATATAAAATATAATTAATAATAATAGCTATATAGACCCAGCCGCGGCAGACAATATCTTTCACTGCTTGCGCTGGGTATGGAAATTATGAAATACACACTCGAAAACATTTTCTACTTATCATATATATATATATATATATATATATATATATATATATATATATTATATATATATATATATATATAGATTGTCTATATCTTAAAATTAAGTATCGCTACTCTGAGTTTCACGTCCTTTCTAGACGATCATCAGGCGATTTTGTTCACTATTTTGTTACTGATTACGTGATTGCATCATCATCAACCGTTCGCTGACGCGTTAACTTGTTTGTTCGTTCACTAATTATATATATATATATATATATAATTACATTATAATTATGATATTAATTATTGTAAATATATCTAAATATTCTATACTTATATTGTAAACTTTTAGTAGCTTCCAGCTTGTACCATAATTGCAGCCAGAAATTCTGCCTGTGTTCCAGTGATTAAATTCAGGTTGTATCTTAATAGTTAAGAAATAAAATTTGATGTTTCCATAATAATAATTATAAAAATAATAATAAAAGCATTTATTTAAACATGCACGATGGTGAATCAAAAGGCATATCCACACGATACGATTTGTCGTATACGATTCTCATGACCCTGGCGTATGTGATCGAATAAACACGCGTGAACATGTGCAGTGAGATTTAAAGGCACAGTTCAGCCTTTTGAATGATGGTTTTTAAGGCGCATTTCCGCCCTTTTAATTGAAAAAACTAACTAGGAAAATCAATTAAGCATAATTCAAAATCAGCAAACTTAATGTTTTTAACACTTAAAATCTTTTTTATTGTTAAAAACATTGAGTTTACTGATGTTGAATTATGCATAATTGATTTTCCTAGTTAGTTTTTTTTTCAGTTAATTTAAAGGAAAATGCGCCTTAAAAACCATGATTCAAAAGGCTGAACTGTGCCTTTAAACTAGTTTCACCATTACAGCGAATGAGCAAAAATGTGGCATCAGCATTCGTTTTAATACGTCAGAATGACAATCGTATGCGACAAATTGACAATCTAATTTCAGGTAGCAGATTATTCCAAAGTTGCTGCAGCGTGGGCCATCGAGGAGTGGAAGTAAAAACCGCTTGCGTGCGATGCGAGGTTGAAATTTGTATTGCTTTACATGGGAATAACGGTTGTATAACCTGCATGTTATGTATGCATTGTATTGCCATGTGTTGCGTCAAACTATGTCACAAATAATCCGTTCAGGTTGTACAATTCATGTAAAAGAGAGTGAGAGAAAACTACAACGTGGTTTTATTTTTAGTTTTTATTAGCGCAAAAAATATGAACACTAGTCAAAAACATGAACATGAGCCAGTAAACCATTAACACCAGACAAAAATGTATTTTTTAAACATATGCATGACTTATTTATATCACCAAGCTTTGTCGACGATTGTAGTGCCGTTTCGCAGTGCTCAAAGGCATATAGCCTAACCTCGTCCTTTTATAGGTGAACGAAAATCTTCTCCTAAAACAAATTTCTCAACAGTGTGTTCATAACGCCGAAAATATCTAGACCATTAGAAATCGTACTTTCGCAAGTTTAGCAAATTGTCATTGAGAAATATTTAACCTAAAGGTCCAAGGTTAGCGCTAATATATCTCTGAAAAACTGGCCACAGCAAGATAAACGATTAATTAACAAGAACCCAATCTTCTCGTCCAATACGCCTCTCAAAACGAGTACTGTAAACACATAAAGTATTTGACTTCAAACGAGTAACCTAACTAACACCATAACCAAGATAAGTCTTTCTAATATCAACCGATGCAGTTTTTTGGCTATATAAACCTTGCTCAATATACGTTACTATAATAATGTCAATATTTGCAAATACATGCAATTACGTCTTTCACACATCCTGACTTTTTCGAACACTGAGAAAAACAGTATTAGTAATGCCAAATAACTTGAGCACTTAGCTATCCTGAAGATAATTAAAATCAAGATTTAGTACATTGTTAACAACATGAAGATGGTCTGGTGAAAGCATCTGAGACAGAACGGGAGCGACGACGACACGACCATCAAATACAGGATTCTTTAGCATAATATGCTCTTTAACAGGATGATAATATGTGGCTTTAAAGTCTGGACTAAATAACAATTGTCCGCTTTGGTCACGTCCAGTTATTCTTCTGTCCATATGCCTAACAACCAGGTTATTAGGTGGCATTCGATATCCTTGCGTGAACTCTTGATAACAGCCATAGCATTTTGTGACAGAATTTGGTAAAAGAACCAATTCGTACCGATATGGGGACATGCTGGAATTCCAGGAAGCAAAACGATTGCTTGGATTGCTTTGCTGCTGTATATCAACACCACTTAATTGGCGACATTGTGGTTGCGGAATGCCGATGCAAGGCTGGCTTTCAATCTCACCGCAGGTGGCAGATGACGTAGAAGGCTGTTGGAATGTAACACTATCTCTATTACTGTACTGTACGGCCGAAGTAAGGGTTGGCTCACGCGGAGTCATCAGTGGAGCAAGAGAGGATTGTGCACCAGTGACGACGTATTGGTTTGTTGACTGGAATACGGATGCCGTCGACAAGAATGGAGGATAACGAGTCAAGCCGGCCGGCGTACTCATGGATGATGACTGTTGGATATTGGAATGGTTTACCGATCCAATAACAAAGGAACCATCACTTGTAGTTGGTTTTCTCTGAATTAGATCTTCTGCAATCGACTCTTGAAAGGATTTGGATTTTCTGCGAGAAAGTTTTTGAGCCTCGTTCTGTTTGTGTCCTTTTAATGAAGAGCTAAGATCAGATTGAACAGCTGCTGTAATGTTGACGGCTCCTTTTCCACTTTTCTTTCGTTTTCCAAGTTTTTTTCTTAGTTCACAAAGGTAGTTGCAGAGAACTCCGACTTCATCAGCGACGGCAATGGCGTCACAGCACATTCCCAATGCTTTATAGACTTTGCACGTACACTGAAAAAGATCTCTGTTCTTCGGAAAGGGCTTAACAATCAACGGTACAGATCCATAACGACTTTTAACAGTGCGTAAACGATCATCATCTGAAGCCGCTTTAGTGATGGAATTGGGTTCGTTTATTAGTTCTTCGGCTTTATGAAAAGCATCTTCCAAGAGATGATGAGGCAAAACATCTTTTAGAACCGTAGCTTCTTCAAGCGATACTGAGAGCTTGCGTCGTGGTTTGTCGAGAACGATTTGGCTTTTAACCACCGGCTTGAACGGATCAGAGTGATTTGGTGGTGGAGAATTCGAGATTTGTTGTGACACCACAAGACCATCTTCTCTATCCGTTGACTTGGGTGGGACTTGATCGGGTGTTTCGTCATCCAACAAGGAAATATTTGGAATAGGTTCTTCGATTTCTTCGTCATCGCGATTGGCCAAAGTCGAACTTCGAACTCCGGAGCGCAGAAGTACATCGTCGGTCGGAATATAAGCCATGAATGCTGAGATGTGCGACTTTCTTTCGTTTGATGACATGCTTTTCCATTCTGCATATGTTTTACGAAACATGTGATAGGCTGGTGATATGACGTACGGACCATCATCGTATAAAGCTTTGACGACATTGCTATACAAACGGAGACTGCGTGTTTTCAAGGCGTCTAGGCATTCTGAAAGTGTGGCGTCGCGATGACTACGACCTTCTGAACGAACGCTGGCGGATATTTCATCTTTGGATAAGAAATTTTGCCACTCAATTGGATTTTGACCATACACCCCATCAATAAAAGCTTGCTTTCGAACTTCTTTAATCATTTTGTCCCTTATTTGCTTCTCCTTATGAGCTTCAAAATAATCTACGAACTTATTTGCTGGACGATTACTCGTGTATTCTTTTTCCATTTGTAGCCATTTTGACTTCAGTTGCAACAGCTTACGGTTATAAATTTGAGTACTTTCGCTTCCGTAGAGAGAATCTTCTTCTTTGCACGTGGTACCCCCGAAAATATCACTCAAAATAATGTTTTTTTGTATTGACTGGAAATTTAGGGACTGCAATTTCTTATCTACATTGGCTTGAACATGTTCTTTGCCCAAGAGATGGATGGTCGTTCCACTTGTTTCCTGCAAAATCCCGCCCGAAAGTGCTTCGTCTTCATCGGTACCAAGAACAAGAATATTGGAAAGGGCTGGATTCCCTCTTTTTACTGCTTGCCAAAAATACGAGAACTCCTGCGTAGATTGATTTCGATGGACAAGGAATGGACCCGGAAACCAAGGATTCTTTAAACTCTCCCTGCCAATTACCGACATCTGCTTGTATGTCGTTTGTGTGACAAGATGGTTTGCAATATTAAATGTTGTGTCACAAGCCAAAGGTGTAGAGAACCTGGGATTTGATGATGTGGTAGAGAAACGTTCTATATCTGTCAAGGACTGCTGTAAATACGCCACAAAACAACCTTGTTTCTCGTGTCTGAGGAGGAATTCTCTGACGAATGCTTGATTCTTGTCGAGCACATCAGGGTCAATTTCATCAGCAGAGGATCCCTGTTCAAGGAGTTTTAGAATAACTTCCTGAATTTGATCGATACTGGTTTTGGTTTTCGCTTCTCCATACAAATGCCGGTAGTTATACAGTTGCTTGCTGTCCCGAATAGTGGTTGACTGTAGTGGAGGGTCAAGCAAATCGATATCTTTCGATTTTTCGTCTTGAATAATCCTTGGCGCACGTCTATCTGTACGAAGTGTTTCTTTTACTTCTTGCTTGAGAGAGTGCTCTCTAGAAATAAAGGATCTGGCGTGCGGACGAGTTGCATTACCATGCGTTGTTGCTACTATGGGGACGGCATTCCCGGTGTTAAAATAGTAATGCATGATAATCGTTGGACATTTCAAAGTATACGACTTTAAACTCTTTAGACGACTATACACTTCATCATATTCTGCTATTGGCATAATGAAGATAACATATCTTGTAAATGCTGTCTGATGGATTTCCATCGTTTTCTTGTGCACTGCTCTTTTTCTAACTACAGCGTACAAGTGCTCTTTGCCCACAATCTGACGAACCCAATTTCGACCATCGCGTACGTTGCAGGTGCCTCCAACGACGCTGCCTTTGTTGTTTTTGTTCACCGAAACTTCTGAACTGATAAAAAGTTCGCCTTCGTCATTAACTGTTACTTCATAAAATCTAGTTTGCTCTTTTTTCTCGTAAGCACCAAGTGTTTCATCTGCTTCTACATCAAATGGATGCTTTATATTTGCAAGTTTTTGGTCGACAACAAAGGTTGATGTGGTAGAAATGCTTGTAGGTTTGGTTCCTGTCATTCGGTCGGCAGGAGTGTCCTTCTTTAAACAGATCTGGAAGATTTCTTTTAGGTCAGGACTCGTATAACTATAAATTGGGAGCTTCTTATCCCCCCTGTAATGAAAAAGGTGTGGCAAATCGTCTTCATTTGAATGAAGATAATTTTCGTCGCCGCCATCGACTGATTCGGGATCACTGGAAAATTCTGCATCATTTTCTTCGCTTTTTTCTTTTTTAGTTGTTGGAATAAAGATTTCGCACTCGTTAAGTTGACTATTGTCACTATCATCGTCCTGCGTAAGGTCGACGGTTAAAATATCTCGTGATCTTTTCTCTTTTTCTTCCTTTTTTCCGACACTTGAAATGTTAGCGGCCTTTCGTTTAGACATCTAAAAAGGTAACTGTATAGTTATGTAAACTATCGTAGTTGGGCCTCTGCTTCTGTCTAGTCGGTTAGTTATATTTGATAAGAAATGTATATTGAAAATATGTCCCACATCATCCGGGAATATACTTTTTTGCCAAGTTGTTGGCAAACAACTTTTCAAATCATTTTTGTTAATTTAAAAAAAATGGACAATTTGCATTATAAACAAACTCTTGACCTTGGCATAAAAATGAATAAATCATCGAATGTGTAAATATTATTTATTGTGCGTTGTGTTGACAAGAACAGCATTTAATTAAATGTTAATTTATATGCCGATGTAATGTAATATTAAGCATTTTCAAAATTGCTTCTTCGAAATGAACTGTAGTATTTCATTCAATAATGAATATTGCTCAAATATCTTCAACTCATATCTCATAATTTAAGTTAGGCCTTTCTGAATTCAGTGAAGTCTATTTGATTGAAACTCCTTGTCCTGTTTTTTTATAACAAATCAAACACCGATACTTTTTTTTGAGACACCCGGTATATGTATCTCGGACGTGTGTGTCAGTGTTGAGTGTGTATGTATTTGAGTAAGTATTGTATGAATATGCAGCTGTATTTTTGAGTTTTATATTGAATAAAAAAATTTCAGTTTTTAATAAAATACTGTATTTCTATTAAATTTTCTAATTTTTAATTCTTTAAGTTTTGTCCCATGAGGCCAAAAAAAATATGTGGGTTTCCGGTTTCTTCTTATAAAAACTTAGGTAGGGTAGGTCGGTTTTAACTTCTTTTTTTTAAACTTTTTTTTTTAATTTTCCGAACAAGCGGACGCCATTTTGTTTAGTTAGTGCTTCCACTTCCAAATTTAAATTTCCCTAATATTGCCTAATATTGCCATTTTCCACAAACTTTTTCCTCTAAGTGGAAACACTTACAAGCATGATCCAATAAAAAAAGTTTAGGGTCGGGATTTCGACGTCCAAAAGCTAGGTAGGGTCGGGAAACCGGAAACCCACATATTTTTTTTTGGCCTGAGTACAAGACCTTGTTCTCTTACCCAAACCATTAATTCAAAGCAATTAGAGCTGTCAAATTACTACAATACGTTACGTTATAGCTAATTTGAATGGGTTCAGTTTTTTTATACACACTGTATAGAGGAGTGCTAACATTTCTTTACCCTGCAATTTCCCTACACTTCAAAGCCCACACCACTTGACGAATTAATATACTATGGGATATAGACCAGTGAAATACTGTGGCCGAGTGGGTTCTAAAATTTAGTTATAATGCAAATTGTCCATTCATTGGCTGTACAGAATTTTTTAATATTTGTTTAGATAATCCATTTAGTTAAATGGACATGTTTTGTGCAATAAAAAATGGGGGTAACCAAGCGTTTTATCGAGTAAAATGCAGTTAAAAGCTAAAATGTCGGTCATATTGAAACGTCATTGTTACCATAGCAACGGGATTTACTATATCATTTTCTTCAACAATTTCCGACTCTTTGAATGTTGCTCAATATATGTGGCACAATTTTTGGTTTGGTTTGTCCCGGTTTCTTATCAGCGCCTGCATTAGAAAATAGCCGCCGCATTTGTATTTTTTTTTATAAATAGCCATTACATGAAGTATTTAGCGGTGGGTGGTCAGCAGTGTAATATTTTATGCAAATGGCCGCCAACCACATGTTCTTTTTTAATTTTATAAATACTGTATTTTAAATAAATATACACGGTAGAATAGTGGTTTTTATTAAACAATTTAAGTTTTGTTGTAAAAAAACAACTGGTTGTTTAATATGAAAAGTAAAAAAAAACTCCCGCGCGCCGCATTTGCATTTTAGAAAACGTCTGATGAGAAACCGGGATTTTAATACTGCTTGGCCTAAAATAACATTTTTATTAAATACTAAGCCGTTTCATAAGTTGTACATTTCAATTTACACATATCACCACTTTGTCAACCAATATGTCATACTTGAACTATAAGTTCATGGACATGGTTCATGTCATATTAAAATCGTAAGTTCATGTTTTATACGAATATTTATTTTACAAAAAAATCATTCGCGAAAAATGTATTTAGTAAATAGAAAACACATATCAACAGAAAATACAACAATGAATATAAAGTATCACTGTAATACTGCATAATTACTGCATAATTAATATAACTGCAAATAGTATAGAAGCATAAACTAACCTTTCATATTACAAATATTTCGCCTCAGTTCGCCGTTTCAACTTTCCATGTGACAAGATGTGATCATGTGAACGGTGAACCGTCAAACACTCCGCATTACTTTGGTCAGCAACAACAAACAAAACCAAAACTTCATCTTATGGACCATCATCTTCATCTAATTATATACTTATATATTATTATTATTAATTAATAAAAATTAATAATAATTATTAATAATTAATTAATAATAATTATTATAATTAATTACTAATAATTATTACTAAATAATACTTGTTGTAATAATTAAATAATTATATAATTATAATTAATTCTAATATAATTATAATAATTATAATAATTATAAGTATTATTATTAAAATTGAATAAAGTTTTCGTTATGATTTTAATTATTATTAGTATAATTACATAGGTGATTATTCAAAATTCTCCACGCTGATTGGTTGCCGTTGAGGTGATTATTACGCGATAATTACCTAAGCGATTTTCAAAATGGCGGCGGAAGCCTTTTTGTCAATTAAATGACGAAGAAATGTGTATTTTCTTATTTTTTTCCAAATAATCACCTATGAAATTATACTAAAACAATTATTCACCTCAGGCTCTGTGATTATCGGTGAATAAAAACTTCGACTTCGTCTCGGTTTTTATTCACCGATAATCACCTCGCCTTCGGCGAATAATTGTTAATTATTAATCCAACATCCTGTGGGCCGCCAAGAAACCCGCGTGCAATTACACAGTACAGATCTTCATCACGGGCTTAAAACTGTAGGGAGCCTCTTTAAGAATGCGTTTTTGACTCGTGTTCACTCGTGTTCGTCATTTTTTACTCGTGTTCACTCGTGTTCGTCATTTTTTGACTCGTGTTCACTCGTGTTCACAATTTTTTGACTCGTGTTCACTCGTGTTCTGACTCGTGTTCACTCGTGTTCACTCGTGTTGTCTCGTGTTCACTCGTGTTCTGACTCGTGTTCACTCGTGTTGTCTCGTGTTCACTCGTGTTCACTCGTGTTCACTCGTGTTCTGACTCGTGTGGTCTTTTAGAATAGATCTTTGTGTAAGTCCTGATTTGATATAATGCTAATGCATTACACTATAATATCAAATAATGACTTTTCAGTTGATTCATGATATGATATCATGTAAAAGAACTTTTTCATTATATCATATAATGAAACAGCACCGAAAAGTCATTATTTGATGTAATGCAATAGCGTAGTGCGCCATCTGTCCAAAAATTAAAACTGTCCAAAAATCAATTAACCTTATAATAACTCAAACGTCTGGTAACTTAAAACCTCCGGTATCCCAGTTGATTTGGACCCCCGTAGATTCGGACTGCCTGTCCATATCCACTAGTAGATTTGGGCCTGCACCCATGGACCGAAGGCTACAAACAAATCTCTTCGATTACAATCGACTTCCTCCGTATTGCGCTTTCAGCAACCAAGAATTCTGCTTGCATTCGATTTTTTTTAATTTATAAAAAGGGTGAATTATGGTGAGTGGTGAACGTTGCTGGGAAGAAGCAATAACTAGAGCTGTGCAAGGAGCTGTTGCATTGCATTTAATATCCATCCCCCTCTATGGATGTCAGTAAGATTTTAACCTCTAAGAAAAAAAGATCAAAATGTCGACACAAACCCCCTTCAGAAATTTGTAAATTTTCCCCTTCCGCCTCAGAAAAATCGCATACATCAAAAAATGCCGACAGGTTTAACTCAGAAATGACTTTGGGGTCACCCTGCGGAAAAATTCATCTATTGGGGGGAGGGGGGGGGGCTGAACATTAAAAGAGAATGCACCCAGAGGCCAGGAGCAATTCTCGCAGCCGGAATAGAGCTCGACTAGCACAAGTTTAAGTTGAAACGTTATAAACCAGGTTGTATGACCTATACATACTTAGTGTTTCAAATAAGTACTGAGGCATTAAGCTTTACCTTTGAATATTTATCGATATCTTATTTTACATAAAGGCCGCAGAGAATTATACTCAGAATAGTATGGATTAGTACCCTGAGCCGTATTCCTATAAATAACGGTGGTGGCAATCATATAATAAAACTAATAATAATAATAATAATAGCCGGCAAACTTTGCGAACGACTTGCCCCACTAAATATCGAGGGCAGTGTTGTTTGCTCTGGTTGTTTTCTGTTTATATTATGGTTGCCACCACGGATGTTTATAGACTTTATAGCTCCTGTGCTATTGTGAGTATAATTTTCTGCGGCCTTTTATGTAAAATAAGATATTGATAAATATTCACAAAGGTATAAAAGCTTAATGCCTCAGTACTTATATGAAACACTATGTAGGTGATACAGACCTGGTTTATAACGTTTGAACTTAATCTTGTGTTGGTCGCGCTCTACGCCGGCAGCGAGAATTGGTTTGGTGTGGACGCGGTCGCCTCTCGCCATAATTCAACCTTTTTAAATTAAAAAAATCAAATACAAGCAGGATTCTTAGCTGATGAAAGCACAAAACAGAGGAAGATCGATTGTAATTGAAGAGATTTGTTTGTAGCCTTTGGCCCATGGCATTCCATAATTATATGTATTATTGTATATTGTGGTAAACTGCTAATTATTTCATACCATATTAATTCACATTATTAATAATAAAAAATATACTTGACGTCCCATTTATCATTTTATTTATTTATATTATCAACATTTCCCACTCATATTTCACACTATTAATAGGAAGGCATTTTACGGCTTTTCTAGATATTTGCACATTATTAATTGTGAATGATAAATTTTTAATGACGCAAAAATTTGCAAGTATAATTTACCTGGAAATTCATGAATCCTGTTTTCCCAGTGAACTTTTTTGAAATGGTCCTTTACTCGCGAAGGATGCTCTTTCGCACATTTGTTGGGAGGACATAATGAACAATGATACAATCTTCCATTACAGTTATCAGCCCCACAGTCACCTCGACTACAACGTAAAACACTGAAGTCGAATATGAAGCGTTATTCATGTCAATATTCGCTTTTAAATTATATTATGGAAAAACTCAATTTCGATTACACATGTTCGAATCGAAATTGAGTTCTTCCATAACATAATTTAGAAGTGCATAACATAATTTAGAACCGCAGAACATAATTTAGAAGTGCATAACATAATTTAGAAGTGCATAACATAATTTAGAACCGCAGAACATAATTTAGAAGTGCATAACATAATTTAGAACCGCATAACATAATTTAGAACCGCAGAACATAATTTAGAACCGCAGAACATAATTTAGAACCGCATAACATAATTTAGAACAGCAGAACATAATTTAGAACCGCATAACATAATTTAGAACCGCAGAACATAATTTAGAACCGCATAACATAATTTAGAAGTGCATAACATAATTTAGAACCGCATAACATAATTTAGAACTTACAAGTCCGTGCAAGATCTTAAGACATATTTTTAGAGAGGCTTTCTATTAGCTTAGTTCTTAGATTAAAATTGTTGTTATAATTTAGAAGTGCATAACATAATTTACAAGTGCATAACCAGAGGTGCATACCATAACAGTGCTGAGAAACATTAGGTTAATCTGTAAATGATTTTTGCATGGCCACTTAAAATTGGGGGGGCTAAGAAATAAATACTGAGAACCACAGACTGAGAACCCCGATATTTGTTTTTAATGGTCCATTAATGCTATTCCCTAGTGCATTTTAAGAGAAGCTTTAACAAAAATTTATAAGACCATAATCACAGAAAACAACACATTTTCTCCCCTGTAGATGACCCTAATGTGTTTCTCCGACAATGCATTGGTTAATAGGAGGTTTTTATGGCATATAGTTAGCAGGATTGAAGGCGATTATCCGATAATAATCTGTATGGCTGTCTTCCCTCGATAGCGGAAACAGCTTCCTCAATTTCTTGGCCGTTTATAATATATTCAGTAACTAAATGAACAAAACTTAAGTAGTATTTAAATTTTGAATTAAATTGAAAAAACTGAAAGATCTTCTTGAAGAAAGAGAAGAATGGCTATTCATATAATGGAAGCATTCGCCGATCAATGTCATAAAAATAAAATATAGCGCCTGGTACTCCTGGTAGAAATCCCCCCTTGGAAATTCCAGGCGGCAAGCAAGCTAAGCGCCTGGGTACGAGGCAGATCCAGTGAACTGTTATATAGTTCAGTGGGCAGATCCAGTGGGCAGCACTGAACTATATAACATGGAAGGCTGACTTCAGTCATTGACGTAATCAAAAAGTGAAGCCAAAGATGGCGGATTTT